TAAGTCTCCAGGTTTCTGCTCCGTAGCTAAGTACCGGCAAGATACAGCTGTTATATACCTTCCACTTTAGGGATAGTGGCAATCTACCTGTATAATTTAGAAGTGCTTGCCAAATGTGCTCCACCCCATTCTTATTCTTCTAGTTACTTCAATATTGTGGTTCGGCTCCGCGGTTATTAGCTACCCTAAGTAGACATAGTCCTTTACAGTTTGAAGTGGACTATTACCTATCTCAAAGCGCTACTCTCTTTCGAGGTTGTTGTACATTACTTTCATTTGCTGCAGATTGATTTTAAGGCCCATTTTTCAGCTCTCCTTGCCTAACTCCGTAATCATGAGTCGCAATTCGTCCCCTGAATTACTCAGCAATGCAATGTCATAGGCGAAGATCAGGTTATTAAGGTACTCTCCATTAACTCTTATCCCTACCTGCTCCCATAATAGGCCTCTGAAAACCTCCTTTAAGCACGCTGTAAATAGCATTTCAATCATATCAATCATATCAATGAATCAAATCTCAAAAGTTTCCACCACGTTATTGCCTTTCAATTTCTAAGAATAACCCGCTTTGCATAGAATGGCTTCAAGGTGAGCTGTTTTTTTTCTCCACACAGCATAGTTTTTGTCGAAGGCATTTGCGCATCTGGCTCCACAACACACGTGTCGGTCCGTCCTTCATGCTTTCCTGCTTCCCTTTCATCTGAAGCTCTTTTAATACAAAAGGTCAAGATCGAGACGACCGAGCTCCTAATCGTGTCCTTGTTGTGTTCTTTCTTTTTTTATTCTGAATGCATTTTTAGTCGGATCATGTCAGGCGTCTGTCGGTGTCCACGCGTTGGCATGCGCTATCTCTACGCTCTCACTCCCTCTCCTTTAGCAACAGCTGTGGGCACGAGCGCTTATTCTCGCCCTGGCACCCGGAGCAGGTGGTACGGGCGGAGTAGTGGAGAGTGAGTGGAGAGTAATGGCGAATTTCATTAAGAGAACAGCAGTAGAGGGGCAGGGCGCTGAGGAGTTGGGGGCAGAGCACTGAGAGCTGGGCCACTCAACCTGCCACTGGAATGCGCCGCACTCCCGGAGGGCAGGCGCGAAGGTGACGAGTAGGAACTACTAGGGAGACCATACGACTGAAGCACTCCAAGCCTCGGCATATTCTTTGTGGGGAAGCAGCAAAATACGCGTGAAATCGGTCAGCCACATATTAATGATTATCCTCATACTTAGTATGCTTCTGCAATGACTCATTCGGCAAACGTCCAGCTCTCATCGTAGTCATGCATACAAAACAGTGGTTTCAAACTACACATGGTTGCTACCATTGCCGCCGCGGTCACCAGCTGAAGAAAAATTTGGAGGCTGTGACGTTAAAAGACCACATGACTCGTCGCCCTGCGCCTACTCCGCTTTTCAGGCGAGAGCCCTGCAAACTGCTCCTGGCTGCTCTCGGCACAGCAAACGCACTTTCGCTCTACCAATGGATGACAGTGTTCAATGCACCTGTTCGACCAGTGAAACACGCCGGCTCTGAAAAGAGCACTTTAAGCGTGCTTTTGAGTGCTCCTGCTCTCCCAATGGCATTCGCCATAAGAGGGCACTCTGGCGTGTCAGGGCGCTGGCATCGCAGGAGCTCAGCGGAGCTGCCGCGTGTCTCACCTGCGAACCGTGGTTCGGAGATGTGACATGCAGGCAGCCTAAACCACGGTTATATTAACAGTGGTTTAAGAAGCCGGTGTAACAAGGATATTAAGGAGTTAGGTTACTGCGCACTGTCACTAACCGCTATGTCGCATTGACGTGCCAGACAACAGAACCAGCGTCGCCAAATTCTAGTATGAAACTTCGTGGGTCCAGCTTGCACTTGGAGCACGAACCATTTGTCGCTATCATATTTTTTTATTCTTTCAGCCGATCAGAAGATGCCAGCTCAAGGCGCCGACGAGATTGCTCGTGTGCAGAGTCGTAGCTGGGCACTGCATTGAAACATTGCGCTGTTGCGCAGTCGCATTTATTGCATCACTAGTGCAATGACGATGTTAATATTTATTAGTATACGCTAAGTTTGCATTAGGAAGTCGTCATGCATCACACCTGAGAGCGAGGATACGACTTGACGATCTGTCGTACGATAACGCAAACACTACTGAATCAGAAAATTGACTTTATTATCATGGTGGCTTTTGCAGCGTAGAAATACAATAAACCACCTTGTTTTTAGTACTACCCTGCTGCTGTGCTACTAATAAAAAAATCACAAAACTAGGACCATCTACCTTTACGTGTAGTTTCTCTGTTGCTGAGTCTACCGGAATCCATCATTGAGTAAACACTGGTTCGTAAGTCTGTCTCGGCACTGTCAGCCAGACAAGACGAGGTCTCGTTCCCTGGAGAGATGTCAGCGGATGTGCTGGTATATTTGGGCTTGTTTATCGTTTCCACTGAGCAGAACAAGTATTTTTTTATTTCGTATTTAGACGTTTGCATTACGTGTCTCTATATTGTAGCAATGAGTAGAATTTAGTTATCGTTTTTTTACATGTAGTGCTTACCGTACAAAACTAAATAACACTTGCGCATATAAGAAGCGCTTTGTTTTGGGAAAAGACTTTACCACGCGAGCTCAGAATGATCATGGCTCGCCTTTTCGTTGCTTGCATTCTGGCCGTCACAATAGCATGCGCAACCTCCAGTCAGCAGCGGCTGTTACCGCAAAGTCTCGACAATGATGATGACAATGACGGCTTTGCCAATGGTCAGTGCAACTCAAAGTATTTTATTCACACACAGCTCTTATCACGAGAGAATCGGTTTTTTTGTTATATATATTTGGTTCCTCACCGTAGTGAGACAAGGCGCGTGGTCAGTGTTACTTTTCCGGTGTCGTGTATGCTCATCTCAGTTCAGATTTTGCATCTTTGTGAGCCTTGTCATCGGTACACGTTGAAGTTCAGTTTTTGTTGCGAAAGTCGGCTGTCACCGTCATGTTCTGTTTAATGGAGAAGGACGAAATGCTGCGGCGCGTGCAGTGACTATTTATAAACATTGTGTATGCAAAGAAACGTATGCTTCCCTCACATGACCCGAGCACACTTCGCTGAGTTCAACACTACGTGATACACATGCTATAACATAACCACATAAGCAGCTGATAAAGTAAGTTAGGATGCAGAGTGTTGAGTGCACGACATGCTATTGGTGTACCATGATTCTTAGGAGGAAGGCGTATTGAAGTGCGAAGCAAGACCAACTTTTTTTAAACTGTACTATAGCGCAGCCGGTTCTGCCAGTGAAAATTCTCTTTAACGATTGGACTTACAACCGTTTCTGTGGGTGATTGTAATCGCTAGTTCTTAATGTCTCCGCAAATCCCATGCCTTATGTTCTTTAGCAGTTGGTATCCTAAATATACTAATAAAGCTAGAAATTAAATATCACGTTGGCCTGATTTTTCTCAATGCTTAGGTATTTAAAAAGGTATGCGAATCGGGCGTCGAAGTATTTATCTGTAGTGTTCTTTAAATCAATACGCGATAGTGAATTACTGCATGGTTGGGTAATTACCAGAGTTAAACTAATAAAAAACGGAAACAACGGGCAGGCAATTAAATAGCGACGAATTTCATTGACATCACCACGTTGCAAAATATTAGAACATATATTACGCAATAATACACGACCCTAATACAGAGTCTCTATATGAAGTATAAGTGATGACTGCCGAACATACTTAGATTGGGAGTAGAGTAGCTCGTGGAAAAGATGTAGGCTGTACAACGTTACACAATATATTTCTTAGCATTTTTTTCTAAAGAAAAGTGTAAAATTGTATATAACTTGAAGGTGTATAACGGCACTATGCACGGTAATTTGTGAAGTATCGAAAAGTTACCCTCAGATACCTACAGGTGGGTTTTTTAACAATACCAAAGGAACAAAATCACCACATTATATACAATGGTCTCGCCATTGCCAAACATGCAGCTGCAATAGATGTGTTGAAGGTACGAATATCTTGGCCAAAATGAGTGTGCATTGACTCATCTTGGTATACCTGCAGAACGGGTAGCCAGAGTTGCTCATGTCTGTGTTAGCAAACTATCCACTGTACTCTCGCCGGTGTAACATGACTGAAATTACTGCGCATGTGGTGATTTTCTTTGATCTTTTCTCATGAGAGTCTGCGTTGTAACTTGCTTTCTCTGTTACCTAGGTGGTGATGTTATTGCATGTGCTTGACGTAGTGTCGTACTCGGCAATTGGTTGCAAGTTTAGCGCAGTGTGTGTGTGCCAACGCATGTTGTACTTACGAATTTAAGTGCGAAGTAGTTTTCCTAAAGTAAATGCAGTCATACGAAATCACTCGTGATAACAGTGTCATTAGATGGCGAATTTCTCTTCTCAGTTTGTTTTGGGCTCTGTGGCAAGGCGTTTCAGTCAAAACTACGCCCATGCGGCACAAATGTTACGCAATGGAAACGAAACCACTGGCATTCACTAACATAAAGTTTTCGCTTATAAAGCCCAAGTACTGCACCTTGCTTATGACTTGATCTAAATGTGCTACAATGTGATCAAAAGTTGCTGTACCTAGACATATCAATCTATTAGTGCTTCTAACTCTCATGTGTTTAACAGGTGATGGAAGTGGTGAAAGTGGATACCTTAGCAGCAGCAATTCCAACAATGGTGAAAGTGGTGGTGGCAACCTTGGCGGTAGCGCCATCCAACGGATCATTTTGCGCCGAGGTGGCGGCAGCCTCCTACTACCCAAAGTTATTCGGCTCACCCTGAACGGGATGACAACAGCCCGGCTGGGAGTGGTGGTACTCGCGTAATCAGGCTGATTCGAGGACAAAGAGGTACTAGCGGCAACCGCGAAGATGAGAGTGGTGGCTTGCTCAATCGCCTTCGAGGAAATATTGTTGCCGTCAGGCGCACATTGCGTCTGCGTCTTAACAGGCAGGGAGGCTCCGGTGGTCTGAACGGCGGGCTCGAAAACCGGAATGGTGGTTTGGGTCGTGAATCTGAAGAAGGCAGGGGTAGTTTTTGCAGGTGGTGAAGGTGGAATCGGTGGGCTCATCGATAGCTTTGGCCGGGGAGGTCCGAGTGGCATCGGAGGAATGGTAGGCCAACGGGCTCGGAGAGGTCACCTGCAAGGGTTAAGCGGAGGAGTAAGTGGTAGCTTCAGTGGCAGAAACAATGAAGGTGGGGGTGGTATTCAAGGCCTAAGAGCTCTCAGAGGAGGTTCAGGAGAAATTAGCAGAGGTATCGGGGGTAGCTTCAGCGGTGGAAGCAACGAAGGTCACGGAGGAATGGAGGGACCAGAAATATTAGGAGGTGGCCTGGCAGGAACAATTGGTGCAATCAGTGGAAGGCTTAGTGGCGGGAGCAATGAGGGGCGTGAAGAAGAGGAAGATCAGCGAGTTCTCAGAGGTGGTCTGGAAGGTATCGGTGGATTGGACGATGCCTTTGGAGCAAGTGGTGGTGAATTTGGTACAAGCTCTGGCGGTGGAGACCAAGGAATCTTCAACAGTGCCTTCGAAGCTGGGCGCGGATCATTTGGTGGTATTGTTGGAGGAGGCAGCGGAGGTACCACTGGTAACACTGGTGGTAGTGGTCTGGGTGCAGCTGGAGGCGATGAAGGTTATGGTGGCCAACAGAAAATGATGACGCAACAACGATTCCTTCAATGGTAAAAGCCTCGGTGAACAAAAGTACGTGCGCTCTCAACAAACGCAACAGTCTAAAATAAATACTGTTATTCGCTTACTAAGCGGGACACATTATTGTCATTGTTATCTGTGTGTATCATATTTTGATGAAAGGCATCCACCATCCATCCTCTCACGTTTATATATTTTGCGTGTTTGCAAGATCCAACACTACAATCGGCGATTTAAAAAAACGAATTGAACGTTTTCAGACAGAGTATAGCTGCGTTGTAATTAAACTATAGCCGACGTCGAAAAATACACAAATAAATCCTAGCAAAACCTTTGTATCTACTCGAATGATGGCCCAAACAGAAGATAACGCAAGCAATGTTATGTGATGTCTCATACATGTAAATAATGTTTACGTCAGTAATTACAATAAATATGTAGTTCAACACAAAAGTATGATCGCCGCAGTATTGCGAACACACATTTTGAATTTTGGCCTGTATTCTACAGAAATATAATCAACAAACCTTTACAATTCATACCCTTCATCCTTCGACCAACTGTTTAACAAAGTATTTTCACTGTTCCCTTTTCCTCTCCGCCCTCATCAAATAGAGAGTTACTTGAGCGGCTAAAATGCTACTTTATGAAGTAAAAAAAAAAGGTCACATGAAATCATTCTCTCATCGCTCACAACTAATCTTCGAAGTACGTATGAACTCAGCATGATAGACGTTCTTCAGGCAGACAATTCATACTAAAGTATGGGACCGGCCTGGATGATATTCCATTATTAAACTCCTCAGCGCCGAAACTTGACGCATCACACACTGAATTTAGGAGGATAAGCCTAGGTGCTCGTCAATTCTGAGATGTGTCTGAGGTGTGTCTGCTTTTTGCGCTGAGCCGTTTTAACAAGCCATTGAGGAGTTGATAAAATATCCGAACCTACAGCGTTTCCGTCAGTTCAGTGTCCTTCAATTGAGTGGCAGCTGCTTTCAGCAGCTAACGTGATAAACACTTTAATAAATGTGTTCGTTATGTCACTCGGCGTAATTTTTGTCTATTTCAAGTAGAGCCACATTATCGAAAAAATTCATATGTACAGAGACAGTAAACGAACGCAGAAGTACGTGTTACTGCCACAGCAGAGTTTTTCTTTCAACTACGAAGTACCGCTATAGTTCAACGTATCCGCACACAGACCACAGAAACCCTGGCCGACCAAAGCTATTGCGCTGATTCCACGTATTTACTAATCCAACCACTATTGCGCAGATTGTTTTTTTTTTTGGTCTTTGCGGATTGTTAAACAGATTATAAAGTGCGTGAATATGTAATGTTTAGGCAACTTGGCAAGCCCACGATTTATTGTTAGTTTAACCTAGCACGTAACATAACCGTCGGTCTTCATATTGCAAGCCCATTGTTACATTGTCTAGCTGAGGTGAATAACATCATCGGTTTGCAGTAGCCAGACGGCATACAGAAAATGGACGCAATGCAAAGTTTGTACACGTTAACCTCGTTTTCGCCCAGCCCGTTAAATTTATTTAGAAGATTGCAAAACAATAAATAAAGTTTTTTCATTCCATTCCATTCCATTGCAAAACAATCACTATTCACCTACATTGCTTAAACAGTGCGTTCAGTCTCTCTAATACATTCTACCAACCAGAACACGGGACCAAACCTCCATTGCAGATTACACATTCTCTTCTCAAATGACATTCCAGCGCACTATATTGCACTCTGAGAAACCAACACATAACAGAAATTTATGAATATAGAGCGTCCGTGGATAGGTTGAGCTTCAGTGTTATGTGAGAGCTGGAATAGCTTGATTCTCTTCGCCCTTCAAGACACTATCGCTACCCGTCCTAGTCTCTTCACAGTGGAGCTGCTATGTGGGAGTCTCCAGCGTGTTGCTGCGTGCCTTCACCGAAGGCATAAGTGCCATCTAGGGAACTCTACTGTACTTAAACAACCGTAAAGGATGACCTTTATCGCCACCCATGGGTCAGTAAAAGAAACTACCGCATTGCAAGGCATGTCCGAAGAATTCAGAAACGGCTGAATAAAACAAATGAGTTTTGCTAGTGGAACTGTATTTGAGGCAGAGCGCCATGTTTCGGAAGCGAATGTGTTAGCCACTGGACCAGGCATAACTTTTTAAGACGAAAGAGTTTTATGCCGAGATCTACCACGGCTCCACTGACGTCTTTTGGTGACGTAACCTATATATGGCGCTTCGCTCCACAACGTGCGCCTTGAACCGATCTCATCACAAAGCGTTCTGTCCTAACCACTCTAAGGGCGAGCTTTTAAAGACGATAGTCTTTCTTGGAGACCTTCGATGCAAAAATTTTGGTCTGTCTGTCTGTCTGTCTGTCTGTCTGTCTGTCTGTCTGTCTGTCTGTCTGTCTGTCTGTCTGCCTGGCTGTATATTTGTCTGTTTGTCCACTCTTAACAGCATCGGGTACCTGAAACGGCCAACCCCATCCGCAGCGCCCACCAATGTTGCTCAAGGTTCAGCGTTCATACTTGTGCAATTGTCGATTAAAAAGCACTTATTGTGCATGTCTGGAGCACCATGACAACACGTATATATTCTGCTTGTGCGCCTTTTACTATAAAATGCATATATAAGTAATTTTAGGGACCGTAGCGCTTATCACGCTTGCACGAGAAGAAGAGTGTTTAACGCTTAACTTAAACGAGACAGTGGTGGCACCTACCCGTCGCCTTGCGTTGTACACCTTACACCATATCTCCTCTGAGACGGGCGCGCACACCCGTCTCAGAGCCACGCGCTTCGTTTTCGAAGAAAACTGCCAGATGGCGCTCATGTCTCACGTTTGACGTGACTCGATGCGCTCGTTCGCCTACGCTGCACGCTCGAGGCACTCTAACGAAGTGCCTCCAGAATACCATTCACCGATTTTCTTGCGCAGAACATCAAATAAATGTTTTGTTCACTCTCTCACGCAAGACTATCGTCTTTCGACGACATTTGCAGATTAAATGAAAATACGGGGCCAATTTTTATTTTAGCTATTTACCGCTTGTGGTACTAAGAGATCGGCAACCTCAGTGTGTTGCTATTCCTGGCGAGATGTGGCGAAGGGTGTGAAAGGGGCGCTTTCAAGGTCAGCACCCTGCGCGTGGCGATGCGCGTGGGCTTCTACAGAATGAGATCGCTTGTAGGCGCATGCTTGTCTCGTGATCGTGTGGTTTGTGCGATCAGGTCAAGCGCAGCAAGTGAGCGTTGACTCCCCAGTTTGCATAAATAAACAAGTTTAAACAGCGCAAATACGTTGTACCGAGGTGCAAAACAACTGCAGGGACAGAACCCTTTACATGAAGGCTCCGTTTATTTTTCACAAATGGGAGTGTAATACAGGCTCTCTGCAGGAGAAAAAAAAATCTCGCTTTTCCCGAAAGCGCGAAGTAATGAATGCAATAGCAACAAACTGGAATGCCACACGCAGAAAGGCAAGCAGCATGAAACTTGCGGTGTGCTACTCGAGCACAAAGGAGGCAATAAAAAGCACGAAAGACGAGCGCGAACTGAGAAGTGTGCTAGCTAGCACTTCCTGCGCACTGCTCAATGCAATAGCAACAAACTGGAATGCCACACACAGAAAGGCAAGCAGCATTAAACTTGCGGTGTGCTGCTCGAGCACAAAGGAGGCACTCAAAAGCACGAAAGATCAGCGCGAACTGAAAATTGTGCTAGCTAGCACTTCCTGCGCACTGCTCAATGCAATAGCAACAAACTGAAATGCCACACGCAGAAAGGCAAGCAGCATGAAACTTGCGGTATGCTGCTCGAGCACAAAGGAGGCACTCAAAAGCACGAAAGATCAGCGCGAACTGAAAATTGCGCTAGCTAGCACTTCTTGCGCACTGCTCAAACACGAAGGATGTACAAAAAAAAAAAGAAAGCACCAGGTCATCGCGTAACACGCAACACTGTATCAGCGAGAGCTGTAAGAGCGGCCTTTCTACAGTCTTTTCATACACTCTTTGGGTGACTGCTATAAGCATAATTTCAGGCTACCCACTGCGCCATAAATAATCTTCTTGCCTAGCAGGCAGCCATTGTTTGTTTGTTTGTTTCCCTGTACTCATCGCTCACACCCACCCAGTAGGATTGGCCAAGAAAACGTAGTGCACTTTTTCTGTGACTATTATAACTATGTGTGAAAATGAATTTGTATTATAATATGACTAATGTGAGGAAAACCACATGAAAAAAATAGTAAACGAAGAAAAACTAGAAAAGTCAATTTGAGAAATTTTCAGATTTCAGGTGTTGTGATTACCACACACGTGCATTTACTTCACCTCACCATTTAGAATTTTCTAAAGATGCCAAATAATAATTATTTGATTGAAGATCACAATAGAATACGTTTGGATGCCTGAATATAATCGGAAATCGCATTGAAAGCATCCCTGTGGCAATGTCCCATAACTGAGGCACCAAAGTTCAGTCTTTCTTTCTTTCCTTTTTTTCTTTCTTTCTTTCTCATCCTTCGTAGAAGCGTGGTACCCGCTACACACTTGCAAGGAACTTTGAGCATTTTTTTTTTATTCTGAGGTGGACGACGCTGAAGAATTACGCCCAACGCCAATGTAATGGGTTGGAGCAATCGAAGACCCACTCGTTACGCAAGTCCCGTCGTTGGACGCCTGGTTGTTTTTTTTGGTGTTCTAAAACGCTTTATTACACACACTAACGTGATTCCTTTCCCAATATGAAACCTGCCTACAATCACTTTACAGCCGAGTTTTCAGCACCTGCGTAGCTCAATGCTGGAATACTGGACTGAAACTCAGGAGACCCTGGTTCAAATCCTAGACTGTCTTCAGGGTTCCTTATTTATTCAGTATTCTGTATCTTCAGACGGTAAAAAAATGTTTGCATTTACTGAATTATTATTCTAATATTAGCATTTCTATTAGTATTACTTTGATAACAATAATAATAATAATAATAATCGATGCTGGCATCGTAATACATTTAG